AAGTGGTCCCAAGTTGCTTTGGAACTGAAAACAAGCATCATCATTCCACTCAGCATGATGAATTACTCCTATCTTCAGGTCTTTTATAATCTTCCAAAGTCAATTTGCTGAAATCGGCGTTCTCGGGAAAACACTTGTAACCTCTGAACAAAACATGTCCGAAAGTCGGAACTTCTCTTCATCGAACGAGAAAACGCTTTCCTATCGTTTGGTCATATTCCAAGTCAAAAGATCCAATGGAAAAAGACTTCAGAGTATATTTTTGAAAATTTCCGCAAAGAATTTACCTGATTGATTACGAACTGATCAATCAGATTTCGACACCCATAGATAGCCGCAGGTCTTGTCTTTTCAATGGTGAAAACTGCAGGTCTCTAGCCCTATACAATAATGTTCGTTTGGTGAATAGGCAATATAGTTCAAAAAAAGAATAGGTAGATTAAGAATGTAATTAGTAAATCATTGTATCAAGCACAGTCCGATCCATTCAGTATAGAGTTGAAATTTTCTCACCTTGTGAAATACAACACGCCATAAACGATAGAATGCTTGTAGAGAAAGTGAGTAATAGATTGATGTTTGACACCATAAAAAGAGGTAAGCCCGAGCTGTACACCATCGACTATCATCTCTATCTGTTGATAACATATTCAAATCACCCAATAAAGTCTGAACAAACAACATGAAAACAATAATAGCTGAAAGACGATTAGCCAGAATCGAATTGAATGATAGGAGGATCGGTATATCTTTCCGACGTAGATATAAAATTAACAAGACAAGTGATATACTAATGGATATGACAATGGTCAAACTACAGTTAATCAACACAATGATGTCTAACACAATATTTACTGCTACATACATTCAGAGACCTGAATTTTGGGGTGTGTGGGAGGGTGCGTACCCCCCCAAAAATTTAAAAGAACAGTAACAAGGTGTAATTATTTTACACTATCTCGGACAAAAAACTTTCGTTACATCCCCCCAATGTCCGGCACCTACTCAGATCCCTGCATACATTTAGGACAAAGTTCTATCCTTCAAAATAGGGAACCATACTTCAAGGACGTGGACCGAATGAAGGAATTTCTTAAGTGGCCAGCTGCGCCCGTGTCAGTTTTAACTGCTCTCTTCATCGGTCTTAGGACTACTTTAACGCCCTATAAGCCGATAACTAGATAGCTCAGTGTATCTACGTCCTTCGATAGTGTTCTTAGTCCGTTTCCAATAATATTTCTAAATGCTCGAAAAAAAATTCTTCTCGATAAATGTTCTGTTGCATTGAGTTATTAACCGACCATTGAATCATTAACCATTCAAAACAAAAACAATTTCGAAGTACCAGATCCTCTTACATACGCTCCGCATCGATTCCAAGAATCCTAGAACAAAATCAAATAAGATCTCATAATTTCTTGTAACACGATCTTGCAGAACCTGATGATAAGTTGCTTCAAGACCTTGTAGCAAGAAATCTCGAGATCTTGTAGGATCTTGTAGAATGCGATACAAGGAGCAAATTCTAATAAGTGGAAACTCTTTCCTTTTCACTGGTTTATCCTATCTACAAAGACCGTATGTCTTTTGTAATGAGACGCTTTAGATACACATTGATATTTGTTTTTTCACTGCAATCTTCTTTCTTTTGTAATGGTCTTTCTTTTACCTGCAATATTTTGAAAAGAATTCCATTAATTTCCTCATGTAAATGTTGTCAGTCAAATTAAATTGTGATCAACCACGTACAAGACTTTGCTGTAATAGACCAAGTACCAAGACACAGCTTGATAAGTATGTACCAAACACTTGCTAATGTGTCACCGTTTTTCTCACACCATTACCAACGACACAACTATTCGAAGTGTCTTAATCATTCGAGAAAAAATCCTATTTTCATTATTCATAAATCTGTACAATCATGATTGCTTTGCAGATTAAAGAAACTGACAAGTTTCACATCAGGAAACTAATGGAATTCTTTTTCACTAAAGAAAGATCAGTAAAGAAGAAAGAAGATTGCGGATGGGAAAAGTGGCATTGCCATGTATTTAAAGGGTCTTATTACAAAGACATACGGGCTTGACACGTTTTCTTCTGAAAAAATGAATGCACAAAAGTTAGAAATCATTTAGTAATGGTTGCTAAAAGTGTTTCGAAAATTCGTGGAAAACTTGATTATATGTCAGATAGAGATGAAAAAAGACAAGAGACATAACTCGCGAATAGATGATCCCAGAGGTTGTAACAGAACTGTATGAAAATCGATTTCATTAGAAACCCCATAGGAGATCGTGTCCTGTCACGCTCTTGTACGTAAAAAGATGCGATTATCCATCTCTAGTAAAAATGGTGGTCCGATAGGATTCGCCCCACATGTTCTTCAACAAGGCTAAGAGGCACAGGTTGCTACTCTTAACGCATGTCATTTCCATAAAAACAGTTTCTCGCTAAACGAATTTGTCTGATGATTCATTTTTATTTGAAAAAAAACACTTTTATCTGAAAAAACGCACTTCTTCAAAAACTCTAGGATGCGTTTCGTATTGACATAAGCAGTATTAATTCTAAGAGTAGATATCAGAGAGAAACATGTAAAAGGTCTATTAAAAGCCGCAGTAGACTAGTCACGAATCAGGATCAAGATAAAAAAGGCTTTTTAGTCATCTAACTTGTTCGAATCTTGTCTTGTAAGTACAAATGGTTTATCGAGAAATCAGAACCACTTCCTGTAGAAATCTATTCGCGAGTTATCTCCATAAGGAAGAGTCCATTTGAGAAAAATGACATTTATAAATGTATAGTAGGGTCCAAGCTACAAAATCATAATATTAGAATACCATCTTTGTGGAGTGGCAGATTTGAGGATACTACGTGCGCGGTCCCTTCTGAGTAACCAAAGAAAAGTGAAAATAAAATAGAAAATACGTCATAAGAGAACACATGAAGATAACGTATATAAAGTAAGACACAATTAATTAAGAAAAGTATCGCGTTTGTACCATTCTGAAACACTAGTGGAGAATAAATAACATTGCTAATATCATGAATAAACTCGTCTTGAATACATTGATTGACTAGAGTAGTGAAATTTACAATTTTAGTTTCCTAAATGTTGTAAAATGTCAGCAGAATCTTGATCAGATTAATTTCCTGAGGTTGTATTTTATCTAGAATAATATAATGATTTGATTCGGATCTTGTAGCACTGATTGACTATTAGTATTTATATTCTGAAGAAATTGTATTCTTAGTGAATTTGTATTGCTCGTGATTGTTGATGAATTTCTATTGTTATTTATTTAACTGTTGTTATTGTTGTTAGTTAGATTAGTAGAGGATGTGGACTGTTGCTCAAGTTGCAATCGTCGGTCAGTTTCTACTCGTATCATATGACGTTGAACATGATGAGGTAACGCAGGATTTAAACTGAGCGCAAACGGAAGAATTATCTTTGATATATCACCAAAATCAATTAAACATTTAATGTACATAGTATCGTCTTTGATATAGTTATTATCATCTTGTAAAATCATCGGTAATGGAAAAAATTGTGGAATTCCCGAGGCAATATTCATTTCGCTTCTAGGTCGTTGAAAACTGTTTGATTTTGTATCGGGTCTGAATGAATCAATAATATGTCGTTGTTGTCCAGATTGATCATAGAGACAAAATGTCACTTTAAAATTAAAAGGCCATTTCAAAATCGCATCGAATGGACCGCGCATTATAAGAAAAAAAAGAGACATATGCGTTCTACGAGCATTTCCATCTCCGTGTAAATAAAGGCGAATACACATCTTGTACCCAGTTGGAGACGAGTAGAATGCCGGTGAATAAATGGATGTTTGTCGTTCCGATTGCGCATCACCCATATTCTCTGCAACATTAGAAATTTTCCATGTAAAAGTTCCATCGTAGCTGATATATTGTAAATCTTCCACTTTTTGTTTTACACTGTCTAATTCGTGTTGTAATATTTCGTGATTCGGTCCAAGACCCACAATATATGAGTCTATTTCAGCTTTTGATTGTTTAATTAAATTTATTTCGTTTTGACATGCTTGTAATAAATTTTGTCGACGTAACGATTCAGTACTTAAACGAATTGAATCTTCGTTTAAGGGTTGAAAATTTTTTGTTACCGTTGTCAATGTCTCGTACAGTTGTTGAAGTTGAGAGTAAAAATAGTTTATGGCTGAATTTGTCGATACGGAAGTAGTGTCCGCAGTTGACATTAATGATGTTAGATTAAACAGTTCAGAAGCACTATTTCTGACAGCCATATCAGTTCCGTTAAAACGCGATTGAATCAGTTCCATGATTTTCACAAGAACAGATTGTAAACATGTTTGATGTAGTTCAGTTAAATAGTGTGCACCAAGATCAGATTGTAGAAACTAGATAAACGAACAAATATTTTGTCACATTTGAAACCATTTCTATTCGTATGCAATTGAACGGTACTTGTTTACTAAGTAAATAAAAGCTCCCGCTGGATAAGGGTCGAAATCTGCTTCTCTCTTGTGCGAAGCTAGCATCACGTTATATTTGTAGTGTTCTGTGCCTCATCAGAATATGATATTTGTTTGGTCCTAGCTCTAGATTAAGTACAACAAAACATGTTTTTCCTGTGGCACCTTAGTGGTACGACTGAGTTCAGTAAAATGATTACGTCTTTTGAGCAATGCAATATTTTGAGATGCGGTTTTCACCAAAACGTAGAAGATATCAACGTTTATACGGTGCACTAAACAATATTTCAAAGAAATTTGGTTATATTCGGCAATGAATTACTAACGCTGTGTATTCAACTTGAACGATATCTCTTTCATGTTCTTCAAGATCTTTCAAAACAGATACTATCTAAAAGACGCCTTTACATGTCCCTAGTTATTCTTATACAATTGGCGTTCGAATTGTTCTAGACTATTTCAGGGAAGAATCTTTTTATGCTAATATATACGATATTTTTTAACTTAATTTTCTATAAAATGTTTTTCTTTTTGTTCATTCTTGATTTTGTATTCGAAAGCTAATATTTGACTGATAGCCCGGAGACACCTCTTTAAAATGAGAGTCCAGCGAGACCTTGATTTTTCTCAGCTCGGGCGTTGTATCGGATTTCCCACGAGTCTCGGTACTGGCACCCGGTGACTATTAGTAGCCTTGGAAACGGATGGACACAGATAATCGATCATACTGAGTCTCGTGGCAACATTTACTTTTAGAAAAGATCTTTAAAATCTAGCGAAAAGCGAGTTTCACGACATATTAGATTTTTAGGCTGTTTTTGCCTAATATTAAAAAATGTACTATTTACTCAAAAAACAACAGAACAAGTTCAAAACTACATGATGAAGAGTATTTCGGCTATTCTATGTCGTATTTACAGGAGATATAGATATAGAAAGCAATTTCCTAGATCTAGAAGGAGAGAAAACTCTAAGATTTTACGAAAGAATTTCTGGAAAATCCATTTACAAAAGTATGCGTTTCCAATCTTATGATCACAGTAAACGGATAAAGTTAACCACATCCTGAAGTTTTGAACTCATTCTATTGTTTTTTGAGTGCATAGTAAATTTTTTAATATTAGGTCAAGACAGCCTAAATCAAAAATGTCATGAAACTCGTTTTTCACTAGGTAAGTTATATATCATAGGTAATATTGCTTCGTTCAAAAGACATAATCATTTAACTGAACTCAGTCGTACCACTAAGATGCCACAGAAAAAACATCTTTTTTTGTACTTACTCTAGAGCTAGAACCAAACAAATATGATATTCTGTTGAGGCACGGAATATCCTTCAAATATAACATGATAGCAACTTCGAGCAAGGCGGGGTAGATTTGACGCTTATCCGGCGGAATTCTTCCTGTTCACCTAGCTGAGTTAGTCGTAGTCGGATTAGAGTATTTATTTCTACTTACTCTTTTTTTTGAACAACCATGTTCGGCTAATTGACATGATATCAGTATTTTTGTACATGACTTTTGTTGATGGTCATCTAGCTCATATTTAGTTGAGAAGTTTTCATTGCAATGTTCGCAATTATGAATTGTTATATGCTTCTTATCCAGATGATCCTGAAACAATAGTAGAAAGAGATGCAAAATCTAATAACAATGTTACACCTTTTTCAAATACTTGATAGCCTTTTAATGCGCCATTCCAGTTGCATCCATTATCTTTCTCTTTACAGATAACAATTAATTCCATCATTTCTCTTTGAAACCCTTTATCAAGCATTATCTAGATGAAACAATAGAGATATTTTAAGTTATGAGTTTAAAAACGATTCTAGCAACGATATGTCCACCATGGGGCCGAGTGTAGACCATGATCATTTTCTTAGAAAATTATTTTTAATACTCTCCGGAACGGAAAAAGCTTTTAAATCATAGGATATGAACAATCTAATTGTAGAGAGTAAATGATAATTTAGTTGTGTTACTATGTGGTACTTTACACTTTTTAACTTTTTGTTTCTTATTTTCCTTGGAAAATCGATACCTCAGATTGAGTGGTATGCCGAAGAACGTTACTCTTGCTCACTTCTCTGTTGCCCCATTGTGATACAAGTAAAAAAGAAATGAATTTATTCTCAAAAGAGTGCCAGTTTCTTCAGAAATGAACCTCGCTTCTGGCGATGAAGATGAAAAAGAAAGCTGAGAAAAGGTGACTTTACTGGGGAAAATCAGACTTCTAGCCCTAATTCGTAGTATTCTCTATCAGAACTCAACTTTTACGTAATCAAATTATCATAATCAGAGTCGGCGTCAACAGTCAGGTTGAATAACACATCTTCAAAGTTTCTCGTTGATTTTAATTTTTTGATGAAAATCTCAGTTTAATTATTCTACATGAAATTTAAAAATAATTAAAGAGATCGAATAGGATAAAAAAAAAGGATGTCATTCGACGCGACTTTTGATACTGATTCCGAATATGATAATTTAATTGCGTAAAAGTTGAGTTCTGATAGAGAATACTGCGAATTAGAGTCAGAAGTCAGATTTTTCTCTGTCACTCGCGATTCAAATGATATATGAAAGTTGAAGAAAACTCTCTAGGCAAAAGACTACTTAGTTTTACGAGAACACGATGTCATTCTGTCCTTAGTAGGGCCTAGTCGAGCTTGCTGAGGGAAAGAACGGTGATTAAAGTCACTCAAACCGACATAGATGTACTCGGTTTTTTTATCCGAATAAAAAAGTTTCAAAAAATTTGAACTAGTTTGAACACGCGAAATCTTAAATTTTCTCAAAACTGGTCGAGTTTTTGCTTTTCAACCGTTAACTTGTATTTGGAAGATTTCTTCCTCGAAACATGATCGAAAAAACTAAAAATGACATATTCTTGATCTCCTCGAGGAGCTGTATCCATCCATATATGATTCGACCAAATCTATTTTCTGCTTACCGTTTATATTTCCTGCACCTTACTGGGAGATTTAACAGCAATGGGGATCGAACGTACATCCCGACTACGCAAAGAAAAACGAGACTAAAAGCACTTTCCTAAAAGTCGTTTTCATTAAAGTCACTGACGTTTTCCTGAAGAAACGAAAATAAATTCTAGCCCTCTCTCTCCTTTGATTAATTCTGAATATGTCGATAGCTTCTAGTTAACAGCATACCTTATCATTTGGTGTTGTCTCAGAACATACGGGACATGTCGTTCTAAAATCAAACAATGTAAACAATAACTCTGATGTTTAACAAGCGTTATGCAATTGATTGAGAAAATTGATAAAAGATACATTTTTATTTCACTTACTCAACTTGAAAAACAATGCTTTCTTTACATAATCGATGACCGCAACTTATCAGTTGAACCGGTGATCGTAGGACTAGTTCGCATATCGGACAAATATATTTTTTAGCCACACTGTCCGTGTTATACGTTTCATAACCACACTAGAAAGAGAAAGAGCTTACGTAAACTATGACCCAAGTCAATTTCTTCACTGTCGCAGTGGAGAATTTTAGCCTGATTGAATCAGGCTAAAATGCTGCGGCAAGACCATGTTCCGCGATCGCGATAAAACTCCCGAACTAAGAGTAAGGATTCTGGATCATGATTTTCTCACGATCAGCTAGAGACCGCATTTAACTTTGCGGGCACTCTTGGCCGGACTCCGAGTCCGGTAAGTTACACCGATCGTAACTCTCGGTCCAGTCGCTATCCTTAGAATGATTTCGGGAAAAACAACTTTGTCGTAGCCACGACAATCACATCGTAACCCATGCTACTCGCCGCGGGAATCCCGAATAGTTTCTTTTAATGTCACGTACTCCCAGGATTAATGATTCTCGGAAAAGTGGCGTTCCTTCTTGGGAGCGCTACTCCCTGTGCGGAAACTAAAGTTCTGGAAGCAATGAGTAAAATTTCTAATGCTTCTTTCGTCCTCTTATATAAATTAGACTGCAAAACAAAACGGTGCATGTGCTCTAGATCGCGAGTCATACCACGACTACAGATTTACTCTCGTTTCTCGACGTGATTTTGGGAGTTTAGTTGCTTTGAGATATTACGTAGCGACTCCCTGCAAAACTATAAGGTTCGCCCTAGCGGAAGTTATGGACAATGCCTTTTAGAAAAGTTAAAAACATAGCCAGGATCGCGCCGCGTCATTGTGAGTCATTCACGGGAGCGACAGTGGGATCACGCCGCGAGTGAAGCGTGACACTTGACTTGTGGAAATTCTGTTATATTTACTTTTCGATGATGACATTCATTCTTTACGAGTTCAAGTTTAGGCTGTGGAATATGCGCATTATCTGAAAATTGAAATAGAAAACGTAGGGAATTATGCATCAAGTTGTTGCTTATATCGTACAACTTGTTTGTTGGCAGGTATTACTACCGTTGTTAATTGCTACCAACGGAATCGGTATTTGATCTGAAAGTGGAAGAAAAATAATGAGATCTTTGTTAAGTAATTTAACAACGTCACAGCTACCATTGAACGATTTTTGTGCGATTGCCTCATTGCTTTTTTTCTCAAGGAGTATGCAATCACACTTAGAATTTAAATTCTTCATGCCATCTGTTTGATTACCTAAAACTGTGAAAAACAGCATATAGACTAAGTTGCACTAAGCAATAGCCGACTTTCTTATTTCATTCGCGGCGCGAACACGGTTCTCTCTCCCCGATCGCGTTAGATTTGCTTAACTTACGCCGCGATCGTTAAAGAAGTCGCTATCGTCGTGGCACGATGCACTCTTTTTTCTCAAGAAATTTGTTACTTTCGAACGCGACACGGCAATGCACAGCTATCGCACTTAGATTGCGAAGTCACGCGACGACTCACGCTAAGGTAGGTATTTTAAATAACACTCAAAATGGTGTCGCGATCGCGATATGATGCACGGCCGCAACGTGAGCCTCATCAGCTCTATTCACCATTTTGCTTAGACGTCTAGTATATAACTCCCACTGATTCTCGAATAATTCTCAAAAAATGTTGTCGCATCGTAGTAATTGATCACAGTCAGATCGACAAGTATTAGTCTTTATCTTGATTCTAATGGGCAAAGTTTATAATTATCACAAGAAGAACTGGACCCAGTCGGAAAAAAGCGATAGCGGGCTCAGTAGACGCAAACGCGAATAAATATCGCGGTAAAGTATCCCAGAGTTAAAATCGATCGTTATGTGAGCTTGAGAAAATCACGTTTTACTGCCAACGCGTTACGCGATCCCACCACTACTACTTAAAAAGACTATATGTGATAAGACAGTAGACTTGAGAATAAATACCCGAAGATTGGCATCTTGATGAAGGAAAACAACTGTCAACTTCCAATTCTAATGCCATTGCATTCAATTGGTTACCTGAAAATAAAACCAATTAAGTGTATTATGACTGCGATCGAAAGAAATGAATGAGCAGCGTGGCTCAGTCGGTTAGTGGACAGACAGTGCAGGACAAAGTACGGCGTTCGAATTCCAGCAACGGTGAACGTGTGATAGTCTTGGACAAGTTGTGTAATGCTCATTGAATCGGTACTTCCAGTTATAGTTGCAATGAGAATGAGAACATCCGATTTCAGTAACCATTGAACTGGAGAGATGAGAATTACAGTTTAGAAAAAACGAACGTTTTCGCATTACCGTGACTGAATTGAATATTTTGCGGAAGCCTTTCTCTTTTGCATATAATGTTGTCTTTCAGTCTTGTGAAACAAACTAAAAGAGCAGCCCTATCGTGGGAATTATTCGGTAATTGTTCATTAATATTTGTGGCCACACAGCTGAAAATAACGCTTATCAATGTTTGTTGTTCATATTTTGTAATATAAACTTTACGTAACCGATCATCATTGCTAGATAGACTGAATAAGTTTGCACCCTGCAGTTGTGTATTAATCGACATCTTAGAAACGTTTTTTAGTTCAAGTATCTTTTGAATAAACTCGTTTTGATTAATATCCAATTGATTAAAAGTAGATAAGACTATTTCAATACGGGAATCCGTGGATAATGCGAATGAATAACACGATTTGAGATCATTAGGACACTTCAGATATAAATCAAGCTTTGAGGTATCAATATTACCAACATAAAACACTGACGTGGCGCCCATAATTTTTACCCTTTAAAATGACAACCTTTCAATAATAAATAGAGTTTGATCAAAAAATCCAAACACAGCAAAACTTTATTACCACCGATGAAAACTTCTTAAAAAAGATCAATACAGATAGCAAGAAGCAAATAACTTGACTTAGAAAGAAGTAAATAATTTGGCTCAGTGTTAGACGGCAGCACTTTTTCCCAAAAAAAATCAGATTCAGAATAAATTTATCATTATTTTTCATCAACAAGAATGATAAATTTATTCTGCATCTTTCGTTCTCTGATGTGCCAGTAGATCTGCAGGGAATCCTCAGGGATCTTTAGGCGAGTCCCCGAAAAACCCGCGGTAGCGCCGTAACGGGATTTCCTGTAGATCTTCTTAGGGAGAGTTGATCAGATTTATTTGTAGTCTGAATCCGGTCTTTTTATGTGACTGATTTTTTTCTGATATCTGCTTTATTGATGAATTCATTAATGTCAATACGTTTCTATGTAGCGCTAGACTCGTGTTACTGTACTTGGTAAAGTAACAAGTAACAAGAATTTCTTACTTGTTACTAGTAATTGGTAACAACAAATGCTAGTTTGTTACTTTGTTACCGGTAAACGGTAACGGAATTGTTACCTTTTGCTAGTAACAAAATAACAAATCTTTATTACTTTCTTACTTTTGGTAAAGTAACAAGGAATACGGTTACAAAAACGTGTTCTTGTTACTTTACCAAGAGTAACAAAGCAACAAATCTTTGTTACTTTATTACTAGCAAAAACTAACCATTACTTTTTATTGGTAACAAAATAACAAACTAGCATCTGTTATTACTAGTAACAGTAATGGTAAACAGCCAGCCTCAGTTACACACTTAAAATAATCATGATTTTTTGTAGTTTTATATTTACCGTTGGCACACCTCGTCATGCTCTTTGTGTAAATGTGTCACTGATAAAGGAGAGATAAACGTCACTGTACTTATTTTCGACTGTTCTTTTAAATTCCAAGAATCCTACCTGTTCCAGATAATAGACTCTTGGCTGGGTTGTACTCAGAAAAACAAAACCAACTTATGTGGGCAATTTCCAACAAAGAAATTACATCGGCTGATGACTTCATTTATATAAAATAGTAAATACAGCGAATCTAGAATACTATTCATAAAAAGAGATCTAGAATAATTTATTAGTTGGAAGAGCCTTCTACAAGGTTCGAGACATATGAATTTTTTGAACTTCTTGGACAGATGGTTTTATCCGATTGCCTTTTGGTGGCATAAAAATTTCGTTGAAATTTTTCGACGGCAGAAGCATTTCATTAAAAATTTTAATGAAAATCCATAGTCACCGAACACACAGGAACTTTCGTTAAAATTTTAATGAACTTCTTTTAATGGAAGCTTTTTTAACGAAATTTTTTTTTATGAAACTCCGATATCCCGTTTAAATGTGTCACCATAGATGTAACTCGACATGGGGAACAAAGTGATGTAAAAAACCACGAGGAATTCTGGTTTTGTCGA